ACCCCTCTGAGGATGTGGCTGCCGCTGTTTATGCAGCCCCAGGGAAGCGTTAGGCTGTCCAGGGGACGGGGAGGCGGGGAGTGCTGCAGCTCAGAAAGGTGGAGCTGTATTGAAGTTGACAGGGCCCTGCTGATTTACATTACCTGAGGACCTGGTGCGTGCTTTCTGTAAATATCTCAGCATGTTTACACTGCTTTCATCGCATGCCTCACAGCTAGTGATTTTTATAAATATCCTACTGCCTCTCCGCTGTCTCCCTTCCCTCTTGCTGGAGGACATCTCTCCCCCCGCCAGGCAGCGACTGGCAGGTCAGCAGCTCTCTGGTTTTGGGGAAAAGAGCACCACAGACCCCAGCGAGGATGCTTGGTCTGTGCTGCATTCAGTGAAGAAATTCACGGTTTCTTTTGCCGCTGAGGAAAGTGTTGTGGAGCACAGTGGTCAAGCCAGGAAGCAGGCTCTCGAGTAGCCGAGGCCATCTTGCCTCAGCACTGCGAGTGACTGTGCTGATGCCGTGAGTACAAGGCAGGACGCAGCGAGAGAGCCCACATCGTGTAGCTGCAGTGAAGGCGTGATTTCGGGGAGGCACTGAAACTTCCAGAGTGAACCATTCTTCCTGCGGTTTCTTGTTGGTGTAAGAAAAGAGAAGAGAAGGCAAGCTAAGCTGAGGTGCCCTGTGGTGTGCAGCCCTGGTGCAGCTCTGGGGGATCTCTGTGTGTTTGTGTGATGCTGTGTTATTCCTGTGCTTCAGGGCTTCCTGCTGGCTACCCGTGAGAGCCCCCAAGCAGTGTTTTAGTCCTTTCTGTAATATTTGGCTTCTGGATTTGTGTGAGGATGTTGACTGTCCTTGGTGTGCTGGAGGCTGGGCACGAGCAGAGGGAGGGATGTGGGGGTAGAAAAGCACTGGGGCTTCACTGGCTTTAATGTCTCAGATCTCTGCTTCAGTTCTCCTGCTTTCATACTAAGGGTTAAACTGATCCCCAGTTGGGGGGGAGGGGGTGGAGGGGGAGTGAATTTTCCCCCTCAGGCTGTTTGTCAGGGATTTCCTTTGCCCTCCTCCACTATCCACACCAGAGGTCATCTGGAGGTCCCTTTTGCGGGCCCCTTGGCCCTGGCCTTTGCTCTCTCTTGCCCTTTCCTGAGGCACAAGTTGCAGCTTTCCATCAGTTGTGACAGGTCTCACATTTGCTCCAGCACTCCGACATTCAAGGGGCTGTGGTAGCATGTGGGGGCAATGTGCCTGGGAACTTTCTGAAATGGACAAATGCTGCATGTGCAGTGGATGGAAGTGTGACCCCAGTGGTCCCCTCAGGCCCGCAGCCTAAAGGCTTGGTGCTGCTCTGTGTACATGAAAAGATTTTTGGGGAGAAAAGGGGCTTTCCTAGAGGTTTTGCACCAGTGCCTTTCTCAGGGTGGGGAAGGCTTAATGGCCCAGTGGATGTGTCCACAGTGCACAGCAGAAATCAGGATAATCACAGTAACTCAAAAAATTCACTTTAAACTAGTATTATAGGCAGTCTAAAAGCAAGCTAGAAATCATTTGGCTGAGAAGGTCGCAAACAGTTTGTGGCTTCACATGTGTATTTTCCTTGTTTTTTGAATGTTTTCAGTTTGTTGTCTGAAAGATACACAGAGAGAAAACTGTGTGATTATAAAACTGGGGAAGAAGCAAAAGTGATTAAACATGAGATGCTGTCAAATGCATCAAGTAAATACACTAGGGAAAAATCTCTCTTCTTGCTTGATAGTGTTAGTAAGTTAGAGTAAGTAAATTTAAAGATACACAAAGAAAAGCACAGTTTAAAAATTGGCCACATTCCTGCAAGACCATGGCAGCATCAGAGCAAACTAGGAATGCTATTTTCCAAATGCTGGAAAATAGATTTACAAACTTCTTAGCATCAAAATGTATACCAAAAAATCCCCACAGTTGTGTTTTACATTTAGATCTATGTATGACTTTGAAAAGACTTTCTAGTAAAGCTAATTCTGGGGCTGTTTCTCAACTTTTCATTCTAGGATTTGACCCTGCTTCCCCTTTTCAGGTCACAAGAGATGCCTTCATTTGTTTCTCAGGTCTCTTGTAGTGACTGCACCATGGGTTTTGTTTTGTGTTGTTGCCTAGTTCTTCAAGGGTCACACAAAACCTATCATTTCAAGCTGGGTTTTTATGTTGCTTGCCTTCCACTATGTCAGATTGTGGTTCCTTTGGGCAACTTTGTTGTGAGATAAATTGAAATATAAAATATTTAGGTAAAAAGAGTTATCTTGTAAAGAGGTTGTGATTGACAGTACTCCCCAGGGTCAAGCTTAACAAGATTTGGAATTAATAAGAAAAGTGTGCCATGAAGTGTGCCATAAAACCCACATTCCTGAGTGTTGGTTGTTTTGCAGCTGTTGTTTTTATGACCAGATTTTGTTTTGCTTTGTTTTCTAATAGCATATCAGCATTCATTCCATTGAGCCTTTGTGGATTTCTACATTAGGCAAAAGTGAGATAACAGTCAAAGGAGAAAACTTTACACGTGCATCAGGCATAAAACTGATACTGACTGGAATCACTGGCTGTAAACCAGACATGTGAGTTAAGCTCTGAAAAACAATACTATTTACTTTGCATGGTGAAAATTATGCCCATTTTGCCCCAGCAGCAGAGTTGTGTGAACAGTTGTCATGGACCTCTCTTCAGCAAAGGGGGGGATGCTCTGCACTCCTTTAGTTATACTTCCACTTTAAATTCCCAAAGGATGGAAATGAATTTGGTGTTTGGGTACAATACAAGGGATGGGTGGGTAGGTGGGCAGCTCTCAACAGTAGTTAGGACAGTTCTTTCTGTACCTGTGGCCCTCTGTGCCTTGCAGCAGGCACCAAGAAGTCAGGTCACAGGAAAGCCTCACCTTTTGTTTGACTCTCCTCTGCTTCAGAATAATCCTCGTGTATTCTACAATTCTGCTTGTGAAAGCACAGACACCATGCCAGGGAAAAGAATCTCTCATGCAGCAGCGTGTACTTTTCTTTGTTGATGATTGCACAGTGTAACCCCCTAGATAATTAGGCTATCTTATTCTGAATCAGTCATTTTCAGGTGCAGCTGCAATGGCTGCTTGTGATTACCAAGCCCATTTTACATAGCTAGCACTTCAAAAAGTATTCATGTGGTACAGTTCAATTTTTAGTTCAATCATTAATTTCTTGGGGACCCTGGAAAACAAAAGGAAAGAAGGATGGAGAGAGGGAAAGGATGGAGAGAGAGGAAGTAGAGAGAAAAAAGAAGGAGAGAAAGGGAGGAAGGAGGGGGGAAAGAGAGAGAAAAAGAAGAAAGAAAAGGAAGCTGAAGATTCTCATTCTTGACTAGCTGATGTATTGCCAGCACAGAAAAGTACACAGCAAAGTACACAGTTTACACAGCAGAATCACACATTGTGTTACATAGCCTTATCCCAAGGCTGTAAGACCAATATCTGTACTGTCTTCTGTGATTATTGTGACACATAGCGACTTCATTCAAAGTATGCCCTATTTCATCTTTTCAACTCCCTGCTCTCTGTTTCTCCTTCCATCTGGCAGCTCAAAGAGAGATACGTTCCTCTTCTCTCCTCATCCTTTGCTTTAAGTTATAGGCTTTGTGTAGTAGCACCAGTGAGTGGTGTGGCCTCTGTGTTTCAGCGTCTGACAGTTTTCTTTCTCTTCCAGCATTAAAGTTAGAAATGTGCTAAATGATACACAAATGACATTTGCTCTCCCACCAACACGTAAAGAGGCCAAAAGTATATGTATACAGGCTAATGGGAAAAAGTGTTCACCACCAATGACTCTGCATTATGTTTCACTGCCATCGTGTCTCGGAATCACACCAAATACCTCCTGGATCAGGTACATTTGTCTTTCTATACTTTTTATCTATTTGTATGAGCCTCCTTCCTTGGCTGGACTGTAGCTGATGTAAACTTGGATGACTGGTGTAACCTGTTGTGGAGGATGAATTTACACTGGTGAACTGATTTAACATTTAACGTGCAGATAGGGTCATGATACCTGCAAGACAGGCTCTGTGTTCTGCAGGATTCTGTGGATTCCTTCCTGCACACCTCAAGTCTCCTTTGTAGAAGTCAAAAATAGTCTCGTAATACTAAAGCTAAACCCAAAATATGGGTAGCACACATTAAGTCAAATTCCAGTTAACTTTGATTTCTTGATACTAATATACCCTTCACCTCCAAAACAGTATAAAGTATGAGTGAACTGGAAATGAAGTGAAAATAATCACCACTGCAGTGATACGTGCAGACTTGCTTTAGGACCAGGTTCCGTCAAGCCTCTGCTGTGCTCTGCAGGAGATTCACAGGTCTGGTGGAAGACTTACAGGGTGGTTTTAAGATATTCTCAGGCACAGATTTCCACCTGTCCCTCTGCCTGTGCAGTTTTTACTCAGTTTCACGTCCTTAATCTGATATCTTGGCGTCAAAAGCACTGACAAATGTGGATTTGAGGTAATAAGTTGGGCTGGCAGCTGCAGCAGCTGAGCAGCTAGGACACATGCCCTCATTTCCAGGTGAGGGGCAGCTCAGGCAGCTGGAAATTAATAATACCTTAAACCACTCCAACTGTGTTCAGCAGAGATTGTGAGCCAGAGCCCTCAGACACAAGCACCATTGTGTGTGCTGAGACAGATGGTCTGAACACTGCCGAGAATGTTTCCTGTGAGGTGCCTGGCACTAATGGTTCGTCCTGAAGAAGGCAAGAATTAAGCACAGGCAGGGCTGCTCTGGGGCAGCAAAATACCGTGATGCTCTTTCTCCAAGACAGAATATTCAATCACTGTCTGGTTCTTTGGCTGCATGAACAGAAAACAAGATGGAGAGTCCCTGGAAAGGAGTATGTGTGTGTATGCTATCAAGTGATTTGGTTTTGTGGTAGCAAAAGCATTTACCATTGCATTAAAAGGAAAGAATGGAAGTACGCTGTATAGCTCAAATTATCTTGTCCTGCGGTTTGACTTTATTATATTGGCTGCTACCAACGCAACATACACGAGTAGTTGATTCACGGCTGTGAAGCTTTAGTGCAGGACTTAGCTGTGGGAAAACGGATAATATTAACCTGCCTTCCCTCTCCCCTCTTTTTTTTTATTTTTTTTTTTTTTTACAGTGGTGGTCGCAAAATTACTACAATAGGTAGAAATTTCAATGTGGTAGACAGTGTGATTATTTCGGATGACCAGAGATCAAACCTCACCGTAAGTCTTAATCTCCTTTACAATACTAAATAGAGGTCTCTTATGAGATTAGGTTTTATTCCTAAGGTTTCAGACGGATCTCAATATTTTACAAACACTTGCGGGCACACATCAGTCACCCTACTGAAATAAATATGACCACTTGTAGGATTACAGTTGCACATGTTCTCACTATTTGATCATGGATACACATAAGCTACTCTCCTGCGTAACTCCGTAAGCCTTTTTTCTATGCTGTAGAGACTTGGTCCAAAATTGTCCTTTTTGAGCCTCCCCAGCCTCTGTATATGGGTCTGCTGGAGAAAGGGGTGATGTACTCCTCTCTTACTTTATGTTGAGAACTCAAATGGTGCCACTGCCTCAGCAAGGGACAGGAGACTGGAGCTGATTTTGGGATGAAGCCCTTCCTCCAAGGCTGTGAGGAGGTGGGCACCCTGTTGTCTCCTGGGCTTGCAGCACAGAGACCAGAAAACAGGAGCACCACCCCATGGCATAACCAATGGGGTGATTGTAGCAACTCCGCTCCATCAGGAGTTAAGCTGGGGAGTGCGAATGCCCAGGGGTGCTGGAGAGCTTGTCCTGCACTTCTCTTGTCACCTGCATTGAGGGGAAGGAGGAAGAAATTACTGTCACTATTCCTGTGTCACTGCAGGAAATAGCTGCCTTAACAGCGTGCAATCAGCCTTAAAGCAGCACGCAGAATGTGTGATAAATGTGCTCAAAGGTAGACACAGGCTCAACACAGAAACTTTCCCAGGTGCTCTGCATGCAGCCCTGATCGCAGAGAAGAGGTTTAGCAGATATCTGTGTGAAGTCAAGAAGACGTTAAAATGATTTTGAGTGCCTCTGTTTGTAATTGTACCCACTGTTGAGTACTTAATGACTCTTACAGCTTTGCCATTGCATTTCTAGGTCTCTAGGTGTCCTGGAAATGAATCTGAATATCATTACTTGACACCAAGCCTGAGCCATGCAACAGAGAGTAAAGTTGTTGATATGATGTTAAAAGTGGAAACTACCTTTATACCATGTGTCAAATTACACTATCACCCTGACCCAGTGTTCATTAACTACCAGCTACACACTGAGCTGGATCCTGATCTGGAATTAAAAATATACGTAAGTTTGAAAGTAATGAACTATAATTCCTTATTTATAATAGTTGTTAGGGATCATTTCACATCTTACTGTATTTAGTGACTGTTCATTATCTTCATTTATTTCCCTCTAGAAAGAAAATGACAACTTGAATATTTCTAAAACTGAGGTAGAGGTTTATCTGTCATATATGAATGGTGCACAGACCAAACAGATATGGTTCAATGTCCAAAATATTACTAAAAAACCAGACCGTAGCACCATACTATGCAAATTCAAACGGGAAGGAACAGACAAGATTGATTTTTCCACAGTGAAAGTTTTTGTAAGTACAATTCCCTTTTGTTGCTATTTAACAATGTTTGGATGTTTATGCAAATGTAGTAAAATGTTGCATTAATGCTCTGGTCATGAATGCTCTTTATAGGAGGAGGAACTGGATGCATTTATTCTTCTCCTGGTGCTTGGTAGTCCGGTTGTCTTCCTCACATCTAATCATGCCTGCCTGGCTTAGGTACCACAAGCAGTACTGAGTTCATTTCCTGTCTGGTTACAGCTGTAGTGTCAGAGGTAGGCTTTGCAGCCTGAGCAGAGGTCACTGCTGCTGAGCTCCAGGAGAGCAGTAGCTTGTCAGACCTCTGGCTGCAGCACAGCAGCACCAGTAAAGCATCACTGGCTCCAGGAGAACCCCTCATCTTAGATCTGTAAGCAATCTGCTGCTGCAGTGTGGCCATGAGGAAAAGGATTGTGTCCTCCTGTTCACTTTTTCTCACTCAAATAGATAAGGATCTTGAACAGTGCATAGGGGTCACCACTGAGACAGAAGAGAAGGCATTTCTGGATGAAAAAGGGGTGAAATTCCATGTGCACCAAAATGCTATGAAGGAGGCCAAAATTCTGTGAACATATGTCACAAAGCCTGTCCCAAATATAAGAACATTAGCATGGATGTCAAAGCTAAATGGCAGCTTAAGATATTTCCTCCATGAATAAAATGAAGATATGAATTTTTTAAAATGCAGTCATCACCATTTATGAGGGAGAAGAATTATGCCAGACTCTTATTTCAGTGTATGGTGGTATAAAACCAAAATAACTCTTTTGACTTCAAGGCATATGGCTCATAGTAAAGATTAACGAAGCTATTCTCAATTTCATATCACTGTTAACTGATCCTCCATCTGTGGATCCTGCCGTCTGAGCCAGTTATGGCATGGAAAAGCCTTTCTGAGATTGGTGTTACATTTAAATATTAACATTGCCTTGCAACATCACATGCTCATCCTGCAAGCTCCATAGGAGTGACTGTCATAGAAAGGTCACCACTTCACTAAGGGAAAGCAAATGCAATAGTTATAATGTCACATTTCACTTGTCGTACCTTAAAAATTACTTTTTCCAACATCAAGGAAAAAGTAAAAGTAGGAAATCATAACGTGTTCAATCTTGTAAATAAATCATCATAGAAGAAGTAGGGCCCCTGTGAAGAAAGGATAAGCTGGATATAAAAGATAGGTATGGCCCAAGAATAAATGAATGTCTTGCTCTAGTTTTCAGGAAGAAAGAGGATATTGAGTGTGGGGTCAAAGACAGGATGGTCAGTCTGAATGGAGGTGTCAAAGACGAAAATGCCATTCTTGCGACAGAAGCAGCAAATAGAAAACCAGTATTTAAAAGAAAAAAAAATAACTCGGCAAATAGAGGCTTGCTGATTGAATCCTAATGCTATATAAAGCTTGATAATGTATTTTGAATGAGGGACTCATGAAAGACCTGGAGGTAAATGGAAAATGAGATAATTGTTGACTTCTTTTTAATAAAAGCAGATTATGCTCAGTATCTTTATTTGGTAAGATGAGTGATTTCCTCAGCAATAAAAAAATGGTAGATCACAGGTACCTGGAAGTCATTCAGTAAACTACTTAACATGGTGATTATGAAGACGCTAGGGATTAGAAAAACTGGATGCTGTGTATGGGGAGCTGACTCTGGGCAATGTTGATTTTCATGCAGATATTAATATCACTAGTAACTTGAGCACAAAAATAAAGCATTTACTAATAACATTTGCTGATGACATAAAGCTCAGAGGCATTACCAGTCCAGAAGAGGTCTTATAATGTCATGCAGGAAGAATGAAATGAATTTAGGAATAGGAATCGGATGAATTCAGGTGTACCTTATTTAGTCCGTGATTCATAAGCAAGATAAAAGACAAGGAAAGAAATGGGGCCACCGAGTAGGAAGGTTATGGTGAAGATTAAAGATAATCTAAGTATGAAAGGAAAATTAAATGATTGCTTTGCCTCAGTTTTCAATAAGCAGGGATGAGTAACAGGAATTTCTGCTTTAGGAATGCTTTGGTTGGACATGACAAGTGGAGAAAGTCAGGTGTATTAGTCACAGGATGATTAATGTAGTTAGCCACCAATGCATTTCAGCATTAGAAAAGGCAAATGGGATCCTAGGAAGGCTCAGACCAAAATACTTTGTATAGAAACTGTGAAAACACATGAACAACTGAGGAAAAAATACACTTGATGGAAGAAATAGGTTTGCTTTGTCTTCAGTTCTTTGTAGTCCCAGAAATACGAAGTCTCTGTGCTTCCAGCCCTGTGGGGTTTCTTTGCTTGCTGATGTCTGTATAGCTGCAATGTCACTATCCAGTTGGCAGTGTCCAGCTGCCCTGGCTGCTCACCTCTTGTGACAAGCCAGTGATCAAAATCACCAGATCTCTGCCTTTCCTGCTGTAACCCAAAATAGTTTCAACCCAACCCTCCTTTTCAATTATCTCAGACTCGTTGCTATCTCTGGCACTTGGTGGTATTTTTCTGTGTTGAACCATATTTTTACTTCTAGTCTGTTTATAGTCTTAGCTACCCTTTATTTATGTGCTTTCACAGACCTCTCTGAGGTCCTCCTTTGTGAAATTTCTTCTGCCATAATTATCAGTGGTGAATGCCTCAGTTTGGCATCTGGCATACTTCAGCACTTTCGTGTATTGCTAAGAATTTATCCTTGTCCTGCCTTTGACAAGCCCAGTGGCTGTTGGGGATGTTGTACATGTACTGTATTTTGTATTTGTTCTTAAGCAGACCTTCAGGATCACCCTGCATCTTACATGAAGAGGTCAAAACTTCTGCAAAGAGAAGAGGGCTATGGGCCAGGCATCTATAAAAATTTTTACTTTCCTCATTATTAGCGTGGGTCTTATCTTACTTTTCAGCTCAGCAGAGTAACACTGTGAGTGCAAAGGAACGTTTTTAACTGTCAGTAGGTACTTTCCTTGCTTCAAAATGCAAGAATGTTTAGCAGCGATTCTGAAATGCATGAGCCACTTGGCCAGCTGGAGACAGATCTTGCCATTCATTTGAGGGATCTAGTTTACAGTGAGAGCAGTGGCAAAATTTGGTGCTGCATGAGGACTTCCAAATTTGTCTATTGTTGCTGCTCTGTTATCCTGCTTAAACATCAAATACAATAAAAGTGGAGTTTGTGTTGGTTCACATATGTTTTCCTGAATTGCTGCTGTCTTCCCAGTAATCTGCAGAACCAGGGTCCTTCAAGCACCTCAAATACTTTCTTTTTTTTTTTTGTACATTAAATGTCATCTTAAGCACTGACGTAATACCTGTCCTCTATTAATACAGCCATTATTTTTCTTCAGGTCAAATTGGGAAATTTTGAGCATGAAGTCAAACCAACATCATCACACATATATTTATATGTTCTTATTTTGCTACCTATCGTAGTGGGTGTCATTATAGGTAAGTAGAATAATATGTTTTCAGTTTTTGATTTGCTGAAGGCTATAATCATGACACATAAACACATATACATATTCACGTACATGTTTTGGACTGTCACAAACAGTCTGGTGGCTTTCACAGAATCACAGAATGTTAGAGATTGGAAGGGACCTCGAAAGATCATCTAGTCCAATCCCCCTGCCGGAGCAGGAACACCTAGATCAGATCACACAGGAACGCATCCAGGTGGGCTTTGAATGTCTCCAGAGAAGGAGACTCCACAACCTCTCTGGGCAGCCTCTTCCCGATAAGAGTGGACAAAGTTAACTCTGGTCTGGTGGTGAAGTCTGTCTTGTCAGACTACAGCATGTCACGAGACAGTAGTTTTGGCTGTTCTGCTGGGATTACTTACCACCATTTAGTGAGGCAAGACATAGGACTGACATCCTTGTGTCACAGCTTGGGCCCTTCCAGCTGTCAGAGCTGGCGTCCCCTCACATCCCTAGGCGAGATATTCCCTAACAAACTGCTTATCCTCAGGCGGTGTTTGTGGTGTTTCTGCTCAGTCTCATCTGGATCATTCATGAATTTGTAGGTCATTACTAAATTCAGGGGGGTAAATTGTTATCCCCTCCTGTTTTTGTCACTCCTTTTTTTTCTAAATATTTTGCCCTGGTTATTTATTTGACAAATTTGCATTTATTGTAGTAAGTTTGAGTACTTGTTCTTCTTTTGTTCGTTTGGGTTTGTTTTTAAAAAAGGCATTACCTTTACAGGAACCATATCTCATACCTTTTCTCTCTCTAAGCTTTAGAGAACTTAATACTTTGGAAGTGGATTTCCTGTTCAAAAGAACTGCTTTTCCTGTTTCATCAGTGCTACTTTAAGTAGGTTGCTAGTAGTTGAAGCAGTTGTTAGCTTCTGTGTCTTCACTGTTCAGGTTGTACATAGCAGAGCGTGCTGTACTTTCAAATCTTGTTAGATTGACAATTCTAAGACCTTGTTACAAGGAATGGTTTTTATTGAACACGTGGATTTAGATCCAGATGACTGGGGCTCATGAGTACTAGCACACTGACAACAGCAGAAGCAGTAATCTCCTGGAGAGTGCAAGTGTATACTAATCTTTCTGTTTCTTAAAATAGTTTTGAAATCCATATTTTATAGGGGTTGTCTGTTCTGCAATTTCTGTACTCAGAGTCTTTTTTTCTTCCTTTTTAGCGGCATTCATAGTTACTAGATACAAATCCAAAGAGTTAACTCGTAAACAGAGTCAACAACTTGAACTGCTGGAATATGAGATTCGGAAAGAAATACGTGAGGGTAAGTCTAAAGAGCTTTGTAGAGCTTAAGTACAGTAATAATTTCTGAACTGAAACTGTCAAGAAGCTCACATTATGTAAACAATTTTATAGCTGTTAGAATATTTTTGTGTGGTTTCAGAGTTCCCCTTTAATGTTGGTGTGCACTGCAGTAGCAGATAGCACTGAGCTAATAGGATTGCATGTAATATTTCTTCAACAAAAGTGGAAAAAAAATGGAATGGTACTTTCCTGCTCATAAGACTTTCAGACAGTGCTCTTGCCTGAAGACTGTTTTTTAAGGAACATCTATGGGGGCCAAGTTATAATTGTGAAAATGATTTTGTGTCAACTAAACTAACTCTCTGGGTGGGGAGGGGGGGTGCTTTTTCAGGATTTGCTGAGCTGCAGATGGATGAATTAGACGTGGTGGATAGTTTTGGCACCGTTCCCTTCCTTGACTACAAACACTTTGCTCTTAGAACTTTCTTCCCAGAGGTAAATATTTACAACTCTTTCAGTTGTCAGCCCTGCCTAATAATGAGAAAGCTAGGAAGGTCAGGATCTAATAACTGAAGTAAATACTACGCAGTAGTTGCACATTGTTTTCACAAGAAGCTTTCCTTAACTCAAGAATTACCAAAGAACATTTAAGACTGTACATCTCTACATTTAACCAAGCCTAAATGCTGTAGATAAAGCACCATTGTTGAATTTTCAAGGGTTGTGTGTGCATCCATTTCTTTTTTGCCCAGCCTCACTAAGCTGCTTGCCTTTCGGGCCATCCCAAATAAGCTATAATTTATCCATTCCTTTTTTTGTTCTCATGCTTTGACTTTCGATGCTATAGCTAATTAAAGTAGCAGTCAGGTTAGCTAACATGCTAGCTAACATCTTGACACTTCCTAATTAGACTTGTGGGATGAGGAAATGGCTCTAAGGTCATGCTGACTTTCTGCTTCAAGCTGCTGACAGGAATGGTAAGACCTTGATTCAAAGGAGGGCAGGTCAAATGCTTAAACGTTACATAAGTACTTAAGTGCTGTCTGGTTTAGAGGTGAATAGTTTCATTGTTCTTTGGAGCAGTTTGTGCCACTGCATCAGAGGACTGAAGAGGCCTCCTCTTAAATGTTTTACTTCTCTTGCTGTTTTTTTGCATATGTAACATATTATGATGCTGATAAGTGCATTTGCTGCAGCTTTCAAAATTATATCATGATGTTAACCAGTGCTTACTGGCATTTGCTAATTGGCAGAAGCTCTGATCTCAACGGGTGATACTTTGCTGTGTAACTGACACCAACGAGTAGAAACCCTGGGTTATGTGCTGTGGTGTTTTAGGTTATAACTGGTATGTGTGCAAAATATCTACTAGCCTCAATGTGTTGCTCATCACTGCTGCAGCCTGGTCGTGCGGGCTTATCTGCACACTGCTTCACTTCATCGCTGTGTGTGATCCCACTAAAAGCTCATTGCGATAAATACATGTGGTGCTGCAGAATCAGGACCTTTTTTTGTACAACACCAAATACCAGATATGAAGGCAGAATAATATTTAACAATTGCGTATGCATAATCTTTGTACACTTTAAGTCCAGGTCTCACACCAAAGGAAACTGGGAATATCTCTCCTGGCACTGCTGTGATGCACCCAGTCTAATTTGTATGGGGCGGCTAGGAGGTTTGAAGAAAGTAGACCAAGAAAACCTTACATTCTGCATCTCTTTTCATTCAGTTTGTTTTGTTGCCAGGCTTATTAACATTAAAATAGTGTTTTTATTTTTAGGAATATATATTTTCCTAGTGATAGTCCTCTGTCAAAACAGTTAACAATCTGTAGAAGCTGTCTGTGTGGAAATACTTTGCTTTATGCAAATAAAAAGGAAAGAAAAAAAAAAGGCACAAATTCTGCCACTTTGTTGCACTATGTGAGGTCAGAAAGGGAAGAGATCCTGTTTTGCCTTGGTGAGTCCCATGCACATCCTGGAAATTATTCCACTTAGATTTTGTCTCAGTTTGAAATACTGATACCACAAAGGTAAACTTGCCACTATTAGCTCTCTACAGACATGTGGTGTCAAGCAAGTTATTTAACATATTGTGTACCATTTTTTCCTGCTAAGTATTTATCATTTACATTGTGGGAGTATCCAAACATGCCTTGCGCTGTATGGATGTGGTAGGAGATCAGTGCTCTACTAAACAAATATTACAGATGAATAGAAAAGGCGGTGGGTTAGTAGATTGCAACTGAGTGTCAGAAGGGTCCACAGAAGGGTCAAAGTGACAAACCACCACTTCCTTCACTAACCTCATGTGTTTGAATGATGTATGTTTTGAACTCTTTCTGCCTTCCTGTGTGTTCGATGGGCTTTGTCTCATCTAGTCTAAGTTGTTTAAATAGGAACATCACTGAGCACCTTCTGTAGTCAGTGCAGAGACAAGCAGCTCAAGAAAGTGATTCATCCTACTTGCCTGAGACATCTGTCTCAGGATGTGATGAGTTGCTTAAAGGAGTCAGATACCTAAAATTAAGAGTGATGGACCCCATCTTCATTTTGAGCTTCTTGCTTTCCACTGCTTGAATTTTCTGTATTTAATCTGGCTTGATAGCTTTTGTTTTGTGCTTGCTGCTTGTAGGCGTTAAATGGATACTACATCTATTCTTAAAATATTCCTTGTGTTCAGCCTGATTTTTGCTTTACTTGTTAAATTTGGGTTATTATTTCTGTTTTCCCTCACTTTCGCATATTGTTTGGTTTAATGTTGCCATGCTTGTTCCCTATTCAGAGGCATTTTTAACCTTTAATGTAGTTCTGGTTGTTTCACTCTGTATGTGTGTGTTTTATTGGTAGGTGGTGTTAGGGGTGCTGAAGAAGTTCTGGAAAAATGGGAATAGCCAGTGGAGGAAGAGGAAGAAGGGTTTGCTAGGGGAGAACAGAGGGCAAGAGGAAAGGGAGGAATGAACAGTAAGATATGTAGATGAAAAATCAGATGTGAGCCAGCAACATGTGTTTGCATCCCAGAAAGCCAATTGTACCCTGGGCTGCATCAAGAGAAGCGTGACCAGCAGGTCGAGGAAGGTGATTCTCCCCCTCTACTCTGCTCTTATGAGACCCCACCTGGAGTGCTGCATCCAGCTCTGGGGTTCCCAGTGCAAGAAAGACATGGGCCTGTTAGAGCAGGTCCAGAAGAGGGCCGCAAAACTGATCAGAGGGATGGAGTATCTGTCCTGTGAAGAAAGCCTGAGGGAGTTGGGGTTGTTCAGCCTTGGAGGAGAGAAGGTTCCAGGGAGACCTAATTGCAGCCTTTCAATATAAAGGAGGTTTATAAGAAAGACGAAGAGAGACTTTTTACCAGGGCCTCTAGCGATAGGATGAGGGGCAATGGTTTTAAACTGAAAGAGAGTGGATTTAGGTTGGACATATGGAAGAGATTCTCTATGATGAGGGTGGTTAAACACTGGAACAGGTCGCCCAGAGAAGTTGTGGATGCCCCATCCCTGGAGGTGTTCAAGGCCAGGCTGGATGAGGCTTTGAGCAGCCTGGTCTAGTAGAAGGTGTCCCTGCCTATGGCAGGGCATTGGAGTAGATGATCTTTGAAGGTCCCTTCCAACCCAAATCATTCTGTGGTTCTGTGATTCTATAAGGAAACTAGGGGCTGCCAGCGTCACACATAAAGCAGATGGCAGTGAGCGTTGCTAGTGTGAATTTGTTGCTCAAGGGTGCTGCTTTGGGAACATGCAGCTGTGTTGGGACCTTACAGCCTGTAAGAGTCAGACAAGAGGCATTGACAAGGTATTTGAGAACTGGGGGCTTCCCTTTGTTGCGAGAGCTTTTTCTAGGACTGGGTGTGTGGTGGCACCTGTGCCTCTCTGGAGTCTGACAGCATGGACTTCCTGGAGAGTTCGTTAATGAACATTCATAAAGTGCCTTGAAATGAATGGAAGCAGATGGACTGAAGTGTCACTCTGTTACAGAAACCCTCTATACCAAAGGCTGTCGTTGCCATCCAAGAAGGATGCAGCCTGCAGCACCCCTTGCACACGAGCATATTTGTAAATGAGGATAATAAACAGCTTTTCCTGTGGAGTGTTAGTTGACTGCTGTGCTAGTGCAGCTCAGAAGCATAGAGTAACACACACAGCAACCCTCAAGTCAATACCAGGTCATCTTTGAGAGTTCACTTTTCAGTGAACTTTGGCAGCACCTTTGCTGAAGTTATTGTGTAGAGGTTTTATATTGTAGTCATGTTAGAAGCCAGCATTTCCATTGCTTTATTTCAACTTTTATGCCATCAGGAATATGCTTGGCGCATTTAATGTACATGTGTTAGAAACTTTTGGTAGACGTAAGAATGATAAATATCACCTGTCTTATATTTTAGTCAGGAGGCTTTGCATCCATCTTCAGTGAAGACATGCCACAGGTAAGTTGATGTAGTGTGATAAGCCATAATTAATAAATATTTTTTCAAGTGATTGTATCCCTTATCTCAGTGTTGGCCCTAGAACACGTCAGATTACATTTTTGATATTCCCTTTCCCCCATGAGGAGGGTTACATGGATTTATATATAAAAAGAATTTGATATGTAAGGTGCTGTTACCCAATGTCTATTATGACATTTAAATATAATAAACAGAATCTAGTAATGGGAAACAACAGGCAAACTTAACTATTGGCATTACTTTATGTATATGATAGAAAATGTATGCTGTGCATGTGTATACTCTGTGTTGTACACAAACACAAATGCATGTTCGGTAAAATCCTGAGACCCATGAAATAAGTGAAAAATTCCCGCAGATTTGAATGAGGCCAGGATCTTACACCATATGTTGCTTACCGTTTTTCTGAGCATTAAGAATCCATCATAGCTAAACTACAGTTTGCTTATTTTTGTTTAACTATTCCAGAGCAGAGACCAAACGAGCAAGGATGAAAGCTTCAACATGTTGCATGCTTTAATTTGTAACAAGAACTTTCTTGTTACTCTCATTCACACCCTTGAAAAGCAGAAAAATTTCTCTGTGAAAGACAGGTATAGTATGATTATGCTTATCATTTCAAGACAACGAATTAGCAGGAAAAACAACATGGATTGTAGCACACAAATGTAATTTCTGCTCCTTGCAAAACAGGCTTGCGTTACTCCAGAGCATTTTTGCATCTTCTCCGTCTGCACACACTGAGGAAGAAAAAACATTGAGATTAAAACAAGCCATTAAAGAGAAATCAGAATGTCTGTACATGTAAACAAAGAGGCAAAAGAGCAGGAAAACTCACTTCAAAACTGTAAACACTTCCTGCAGTTAAATTAACAGTTCTACAGTTTAGAAATGTTCTATCACTGAAGCAGGTGTTGTTCTGCAGAACTGAATTTAGAGACACAAATTCTGTGTTTAAAAAATAATCACAAGAGCAGATGGACTTGCATTTTTCATATATTTGTAGAGATCAGTGGACAGTTTCTGTGCCTGAGGAGGGAAAACTTAGGATATGAACTGCACTAAAGTGTGTTTCATTTATTGCAACTGACTGGGAAAAGAAAATCCAAATATTATAGCATTCTTTTTTTTTCTCTTTCTTTTTTTTTTTTTTTTTTTTTTTAACAGATGCTTGTTTGCCTCTTTCCTGACTATTGCACTACAAACTAAGCTAGTTTATCTAACCCATATTTTGGAAGTGTTGACAAAGGACTTGATGGAGCAATCAAGCAATGTACAGCCTAAGCTCCTGCTCAGACGAACTGAATCTGTGGTGGAAAAATTGCTGACAAACTGGATGTCTGTCTGCCTTTCTGGATTTCTCCGGGTATGTGTACATCTTTTCACTACATAAGACACACAAGGATTTTCTTTAACTGACTTATTCCATAAGAATTGTTAGAGTAATTAGTTTAGAGCATTCAGTCTAACTTCTAACATTATTAATGTGTACTCTTCTGGTTTAGGTGACTTAGCTAGCTATCATCAAGGGGATGTAGGAAAAGAGCACATCTGTAAGTGATTATCATGTCCTTTATTTGGCTGAGATTTGGGTAATTTTGCAACCCTGTCATATCCTTTTCTCATGTCAGACATTATTTCATCTCCATGAGATGTATTGTGATCATACTAAAAGAGTGACACGCTCATTAAAATGCCAGCTGTACCTTTCTATGCAAGCTGTTGAAAAGCCACCATGTAACAGAGATTTAAGGAGTACCATCTTTTGGAAAACTGAACTACTTTTCAAACTTTTTCACCTCCAATTAGCACTGCAGATTTCAAGAACTAAATGACTTAAAGTGGAAACAAAATAAGCATTTTCTTTCATTTTACTGTTTGTTTGTTTTAGCCCACTTGGTAGCACTTCATTCTTGGTTTTGGTGCTTGGTTATGCTTCCTGTCTCTGCTACCAGTTAGATGGTATCACTCAGATCAGTCCTTGCACTTGCCATTAATACAACAGCAGAAATACTTGAGGCTCAGCAGCTTAGGCCGGTTTCCTGAAACCCCAGGAGAGAGCCAAGGAACTGTCAGAGAGCCAAGGAACTGTTCTCGATACACCAGTCATCTTTAAAGAGCTGTGCTACTGAGATGCATTAGCCAGGTTTCAGGAATGGTGTCGCATGAAAATAAAGATCCATCCTTTCCTTTCTCAGGTTCTTGCCTGAAGACTGGGGTTCAGGCAGGAGAGGGAAGCCCCAGTTCCATTCCCTCTTTCACTGATAACCCCAGTGTATGTCCCACCACCTTGCTCCCAAGGCATTTTTTCAGGTACAACAGGGGGAAATGCCAATTCAAAAGGAAACTAGTTGTTAGCTTGTTTTCTCACAAGACCGAGAAAAGAAGAAATAGCTGAAGTATACGTGTGAACACATGCACGTCTCACCCCCCACCCTCTCTTTGGTGGAACTAGGAAGCATCTGCCAGGTGGAGTAGGAGCAGCTTGTCTGGAGTGTGCTTGTGCACAGCAAGGGGCTGTGAGCTACTTGCCACACGCTCCAGCTGTCCCTTGCTATTTGCATGAGACTTTCACACCAAAAAGCAAATGATGGAGGTTGAACAAATAACTAGATAAATTTGCTCAGAGGAATTTTCTTTTCTAATTGCGAGATAACAAGTTAGTTAAAAGGTAATAACTCCATTTGTTACACTTGATTTTTTCCTAGTTATTCATGCTTGTTTAGTCATTACAAAAATAAACATGTGCCTTGCGTTTGTTTCATGTCCTAGGAGACAATTGGTGAACCTTTCTATTTGCTAGTGACAACCCTCAATCAGAGGATAAACAAAGGACCTGTTGATGCCATAACTTGCAAAGCCCTGTACACGCTTAACGAAGACTGGCTGCTGTGGCAGGTGTCTGAATTCAAAACAGTGGTATGTTTGCCAGTTTGTGTTCCCTCCAAACATGGACAACTACAATGTTTTCTCTTTTTCTAGGAAACTAAATTAAGGCTCTTAGACACTAAGGTGATTGTTAAGTACCCAGACAATAAAATTGTTATTGTTGACAAAGTTTCAAAACACAATAGAGTTTAACTAGCTGGTATTTCACCAATATACATTTCAGAAATAGCACTCACCCCTTGCTTCACAGCATGCCTCAATCACCAAAGGTTATGTTTAATGAAGTCTCAGGGTATTAAAATTCCTTCTTATTTTAAGGTGTACTACAAAAATATAAACATATGCTTAGAATTTAAACTAAATTACACTTTTCCAATGAATGAAGGAATGGAATGCAGAGATGCTATTTTGTGTAATCTTCAGGCAGCAATAATTTGCTGTGGGTTTCAATGTTATTAACTCCAAATTAGCAAGGTTAAAGTGTGGTGGATTTTAATTAGTCACTTGGTTAAAAACAAGGTATCTGGGAAGCCTAGCTAAGTTTCTGAACTTTGCCATAGATTTCTTGCCTTTCTCAAAGCAACTACGAAGTGCTTCCTATTTTATGGTTACACCCAGAATTCTCTGGAAGCTGGTATTCTCTTACTGATTGTCATTCTGAAACTTAGGGGAGGAGGAGCGGCAAGTATTATTGCACTTTGGAGCATATAAAAATTATGACTTTTTGACTAAGAGGTCTGAAAAAGGTTTTCAGAAAAAACAGCACTTTTTTCCCAGAATTTCCAAATTATTTTAAGCCCAAGAACATAAAATCTTCATTTCCAGTCATTTCCATAGCTTCCTTGCTTCTTAACTCCTGGCTTCCTATCAGAGTTACCAAACATACTTAGGAGTATGAGAAGTGCAACTGAATAATTGCCTTCAGAGCCTGGGAGCAGAAATTGCCAGGGCAGCAACTGCCATGTCAGGGACACTGCAAGTATTGGTGCCTTTGGATGAAAATTCAGTTCTTTTCAGAGCCCATATCCTGAGCCTCAGCTAGGGCTGGAGCTTACAGGTCTGCCTATCTTCTGTTTTTGCAGCAAGTACCTGGAGGTCCTAAGATGTCCCATACTGGAGTAGACCACATGACCCTGGAAATTTTGTCTGGTCAGCAATCTGTTGGACTTAGCTCACTGGGTCATGTAGGAAGCTCACTGAAATGACAGCCTTTCTGTGAAATGTTTCTGAATTGTCATTTTCTGCTGAAAGCTCTTAGATTGACAAATTTATAGTCACATCTTCTTATAGCTGTTTACAAGCTTCCTTTGAAGGTACTTCAAGCTAAGTTGCAACAATGTACGTTTGGAAAGAAAGTTTGTGACTAAAAATTAAATGTATAATACCATGTCTTTGGTTTCCTTGTTTGTGTGCTGCACTCTGGTATGCATTTGGGATCCAGGGTAAGTTTAAATATATATAGCCTTAGGATACAAAACCCAGTAGTTAGGCAGAGCAACAATTTTCAAGCAAGCTCAATATGCCTGTTACTAGTAGACTGCACAGGAACATCTGGTCCTGTGGAATTGATTGAATTTTCTTATTTATAGCACAAATTCAAATTGAGAGAACCTTGGGGGGGATAGCTGATTTTGAAACTGCTGAACACTGCCTTCAATACTTTTCCTAGAGCTAATTCTATGCATGCAGTCACTGATAGGGTCTTGTGGGGACCTTGCAGTGAAGAGGAGAGAGGGGAAGTGGTCTGAAGGACGTGGTATCAGTGGGGAAGGCTGTCTGCGGATGGATGAGGAAGTGAGAGATCAGATAACATTTCTCGAATGTTGTTTGCTGGCTTTGTACTTTGTATTCCTGCTTTTAAATAGGAGATAATAATGCTGTTATAGGGTTATTTCCCTACTAAGGTCCAGGAGTTTAATGGACTTAGTTGAGAGGTGGCTGGATGTTCCCTTTAAAACCATCAGAAAAGGAGAGAGGATCCTGCGGTAAAATTACAGAGACTCTACCTCTGGCTGGACAGGGAAACAGTTTTGTTTAGTGTTTTGTCTAAGACTTATGCTGGAAACTAATACTGTGCTGTGAAAGAGGTTTAGATGGAACAGGGAGGCTTTCTGGGCTGGGGAAGCAGGCCAGTTGTGCACATTTTCTTTTCAAGAATAGCATTTAACAGGATGCTAAAGTGGAAGGAGTCAGCTTTTCTTCTCTCACTAACACCACTTCACAGGCACCGCAATGATATGCAGGACCTGTGAGCATGCAGACAGGGAACCAAGTATTTTCTCCTTTCTTTGGAAGAAAATTTCTGCCTAAAAGATTGCAGGTTTTGTTTTCTAAATGTAATACATTCTGAGCTGAGTTTTCAAATGCATTTGCATATTTGCTCCCTGCAGTTATATTCTGAATCTTGCAGTATTTTGTTGGTATTTTATTTTGCCCGTTTCTATGGCCCCACAATAGCAGTACACTAAAGCCTACCTGTCCTGAGCAGAGTATAAAAACACAGCCAAAAAGAGGATGATAAAAGGATACTGCAGCACATCTGCAGACACTCAGTGTCCAGATTTTTAAGGTATGTAGGCACATACAGGGATGTAGCTGGTAGGGAGTTCAACTCTCAAATCAGTGGCAGGGCACAAACAGGGGTGTAGCCACTCTGCGTGCAAATCTCTCTTTTCAGCATAGGGGCTTAGTTCCAAACCACTAAAGCAGGATACAGACAGGCTCCTAAAAATCAGAGGGAGCTCCACAGGTCTTCTCCTAAACACACCACTGTGCAGATGAACTCTTGGAGCAGAAGGAAGAAGCACCAGGCACAGAGAAAGAAGGAAGAATGGGAGAGATTTTCTAAAATTCAAACCATTTGTAACAGGGGAAAAAAAGAGAACTAAGAAACATGTTGGTTTTGAATTGTATTAGAGCTATCCCCTGCCTGGGCCCCACGCCTTTTTTTAAAAAGGCCACGGGCCTTGGGACCAGCCAAACCGACTGTTACCCCCCTCAGCTGGAAAGGGTCAGATATGGAACAGAGATGGGCTGCTGAAGTAAATACTCAAGCACAGGTATTGAAGGAAAGATGCTTCTAAAAGCACTGGTCCAGTATGAGCTGAGGAGCTGTGTGGTTTCATGCTGTGCTAATATTTGAGTATTGAGAAATAAAACTGCCCTGAAAGAGACTTGGATGTGTTGCAGGCTGAGGAAGCAAGCCTGCCTTGTCACAGGCAGACAAGCAGCTGCACCTCTCAGTGGATAATTTGCTCGATGACTGATGAAGAAGTGCAGTGCACAGCTGAGTGTTAGCGTTTCACTGAAGTGTTTAATTCTAAATAGAAAAGCTACACAATGCCAGCCTGGCATGGGAGAAGTTCTCGGTAGAGTATCTCCTGTAGAAAACCAGGGGAGACTTCTTCATGTGGTAGGCTTGGTGCTTGGGCATTCTCGGTCACTGCTTATTTTTAAAAAGGGATTTGGGCTGTTGAATTCTTTGCTGAAATGAGTTTGCATCTTCAGATGGGAAGAAATGGTCTCATTCACCTGTTCAACCAACAGCCTTTTACTGAAAGTGAAGCAAAGACACGTGGTGGAAGGTTGTTTAAAGCGTTCAACTGCTTTACCAGTTAAAAGATGGGTGTTAAAAGAAGTGGGTGGGCTGTAAGGGAGTAAAGCAGAGGCAGGGAACCCAATTTCCTAATAAGACGCCATGGTTGTGATATTAATAGGTGCACTTTCTGAGAGATAAGGAAGCTATTAAAAGCATGTGACATATGGGGATTTTCGTCAGAAGAGAAGGACAGAACAGCCCTTGCTAGGAAACAAGCAGTGCAGATGTTGGCTACAGGAGAGTCTTCGGAACTAGATACAGATTGAGTACCACCACACTGCAGCATCGAGAGTACAACCCTTGCTTTCTTTAGTGCCTGTCTAGCGATAAATTTAACTCCTGTAACATTTTCTGTGGCAATTTGTTAGCTGTTCTGTAACCTCTTCATGCATAACTGTTCTGGCTGCTACAGAAGGATCATACAATCAACCTGATTTTTCCTATTTATTGTATTTCATAGTCTGGGAAACAGGGGAGTAGGTTTAAGGCAATTGCATTGTGCTGTACGTCATGGTGCTTTCTCCTTTACCTAATTCTCTAACTTTTACCAATCAGAAGTTTTTCTTGCTTTTTCAATCTGTCTGATAAACGGACATATGCGTTGTTCAGATGCACAGCCAAATAGAGAACAGGGTAATGAATAAGAGCCCTTGAATATCCCAGATGATTTTTCTTTTCTTCTAAGAAAATACGGTATTATCACATTTCTTTATTAAACCACATTTCATTCATTATCTGCTATGGTTATTAATAGCTTTACTAAATAATTCATTGTTTGAAATTCATTTTCAAGAAAACCACCAATTTAGAAAAGATCTTCAAACACTGTCTTCAAATGTCATTATTATTGTCACTGCATGAGTAAAAAAATGTTTTAAAAATTTATCCCTGTCTTTTAGGTAGCTTCCAAGCTAGTTCCTATACAAGTAGTTGCAGATGCTTGCTTGTTCTCCTTAAGTAGACTTTAACAGTTCTTGCAACCTGTGTTAAGCCTTTGCTGAAGAGCACTGTGACTTTGTATTCCTAACCACTAATTTCTAGTGCATGAACTCTAGATATTACTAGGTAGAACCACATGTCCTGTAATTTCTTTTTTTTCCCTAAGTTAACTTGTATTTTTGTTTCCTTTGCAAACTGAGAGAGCGTAGAAAAGGGCCTGATGAGGTTTCCTCATGGCTTCCATGTGTCCTCCTGTGATTTCTCTTAAATGTTTGCTGACCTTTAGTGCTGATCATAAAAGGGCTCTCATAATTTTACAGTCATTTCTGATTCTTTTTCCAGTTCTACACTTTGTGTCTATATGCAGTGATGGTGATTGTCAGCTTCTGATTAATGGTTTCTAAAGCCAGGGATTGTGCTGTCAGACAGGTGGAATCTCATTTATGAAAACTTCAGCTACGGAGGGAAGACATAATAATAATTGGCTTTCCTAGCTCCCCATCAACTGCTTCATCACTTAAGAATAACTTCTGCAGGAAATCATATCAGCAAAACTGTCTGGCTGTCTTGGTTTAGAGACGTCTGTGTTTAAATATTCTTCCCATCTGACCACTTCTTTCAGTCGTAAAGTATTATTATGTTATTATTCTCACATTGTGGATACTTTCAATTAAGGACTCCATAAATGACTTGTATTCTACCTACATAAAGGACTACTTCTCTTTTTACAGTCCTGTCATCCTACAATGAGTTGAGCAGGGATGGGAGGACTCTTGCATGCTAATAACTGAAGAGGCTGCACATTTATGTGCGATCTGTGTGAGAGCATGTGCTGAAAAGGAAATCCAGCAGAGAAAAGGACAGTTTCTCTTGGCATTCTGAAAGGAAGAGGAAATGAAGGAGAAGCAGGAACATGAATATTGCAGTGTAGGAATAGTGTTAGGAGGAAAGGATCAACTGAAGTGTGAGTAGCCACTCCAGTAAGATCAGTTTGGAGACTAGAAAAGACAAAGACTTTGATTAAAATGAGTTGTACAAAGACAAAATACAGTTAATCCCTGTCCACATTTTTATCCTACAAGACCATGACCTCAGGGCAATCAAAGTCAAGGACAGGACTGCTGTCTGTTCACTTGGTCTGTGGGCCTAACCAAGCATGGCTCCCTCATTCCTGTGCCAATATATTTTTTTACTAATTTTCCGCATGAAATCCCAACCTGAGGCATTGCATCCAGTCTGCTGCTTCTTCTGCAGGCACTGTTCCCATGTCTCATACTCTTCTGTTCCGTCTATCCTTTCCATGGACTCATTTTCCTCACAATTAAACATCTCGGTGTCCTGATTAAATTATTCTCAGTTATTTCAGTTACATCCTAATCTTTGTTAAATCCTGATCTTCATAGTTTTGCAACTCTGTTTTTAATACTCCTTTTGCTTTTCTAGAAACAGTAAATTTACATGTCTCATTGGACTACTTTTTTTCATAACCAGTGTGTTGTAATTTCCACTCTTGCTGGGTAATAAAGCAGAAAATATCATTCTACAACTATTAATAACTACCCATTTTTTCTAAGACGAGAGAAAAGTTGTCCCTGCAGCAACCTGGACAGAAGTTCTTTCCTTCACATGACAGCAGGAAAAAAAAAAAAAAAAATTGCTTCCTCTTTTAACAATCACTCCTTCACTGAGTCACACCTGAAGTCTCACATTTCAGTCAAAAGATACATATTATACCACAAAAGTCCAACAGCCAGAATGGTTCGAGTATGTAGATTTTCCCTTGCCACTTGCAGTCATGTGCTGGCATCTAAAAACATAGAATCATGGAATGGTTTGGGTTGGAAAGGACCTTAAAGATCATCAAGTTCCAACCCCCCTGCCATGGGCAGGGACACCTCCCACTAGACCAGGTTGCTCAAAGCCTCATCCAGCCTGGCCTTGAACACCTCCAGGGATGGGGCATCCACAACTTCTCTGGGCAACCTGTTCCAGTGTCTCACCACCCTCACAGGAAAAAATTTCTTCCTAATATCTAATCTAAATCTACCCTCTTGTTTTAATTCTGTCCTGAGACATCTAGTGTCTTTATCCATGTAGCTGAACAGTGATGTCTCTGCAAGGAGCGGGCTGCGGCACTGGAAATGAGTGCACTCAACATTAGCAGTCCTGTGGTCATCCCTTTTCCTTGCCTTTTGGAAGCAGTTGATCTGCGTGACCTGACCGGAAATACAACCTGACTAAAAACTTTCCCTGGAGATGGTCATCCAGTCTCACTGGCACCTTCCTCTAGCTCATACCTTGTGTGCAGCACAGCAGATGAGTTGTGTCCCAGCTAAGATAGCTGTGAGCTAAAGGGCAGGGGTGTTGTAACTGGACAGGACTTGTGGTTGTTTGACCTGCAGTAATAACTAATAGAATAAATCACACTTTTCTGTGCAGATCTGGACCACTTTGGGTTCTGTCTGCTGCAACATGCTTTTCCTTTCCACTCTGCTGCCTCTAGAAACATGGCTGTATGCAGACAGACACTGATGTCTCCAGGGGAGGCATAGTTTTTTGTATGATATAAGGTACTCGGCATAATCTGCATCTGTAAGCGTGCATTTTAACACTGGTTCCTATCCACTCAAAATCAGTCATGCTCACTGTTACGACTTACTTATCAACCTTATCAGATCTTCAGTAGCTTACAGTTTTGCTTTTAAGGCATTCATTTTAAGTAAAAGATATGCTTCTTTTAGAACATGCATTGTAATTTTTCCTGGTTTCCTGTCTTTTTTTGGTAATTCACTGAAATAGATTTGCACAAAAGCAGAATACAAAATACACTTCTGGAAATATGTAGCTATATATCTTTGATTCTTCAGACACAAAGAGTTCTAAATGCTTCATTGTGTAATTCCTTCAAATAATATTTATTCAAAATAGCTTTAATAAAAAATTTGCTGAAAATCTGTCAGCTTTGCTGCCAGGAGTTTGTAGTTTTCCCATGCCAGGTGTTCCCTATAAGTCAGAATAACATGTGTGTTCTTCCCCAGACAGTAAACATTATATTTGAAAAAATCCCAGAAAATGAGAGTGGAGATGCCTGCCAAACTATCCAAGTTAATGTTCTGGACTGCGACACCATAGGCCAAGCCAAGGAGAAGAGCCTTCAAGCTTTCCTTAATAAGAATGGCTTTCTCTATGGTCTTCAGCTGGATGAAATTGGTCTTGGTAAGAGAGTGTCACTGTGTTATATTTTCATGGAGTTCACTGATCTGTCTGTGGAGTTTTCTTTTTAGGAATTCCTACCTTTGGCTTTGATTTTTTTTTTAGCATTTAGGCAGAACATAGCTTTTGTAAGGAGTTTCTGGGGAAATACTAGATCATTTATGCTACGAGTTAGAACAGTTGAACTGCATCTGCTTCAGTTCTGAGGGGACTTCACCATGCAGTGAACAATCACGTTATTTATTGAGCACATATAATTTATATGTTTCTTTTCTGGATTAAGTAATGTAGCCTGTGCACCTAAGTACAGCCGGTTGATAAATTTGGTAAGATGACACGTCATGATTACCAGGTACTAGTCCCTACCCAGTATCCCTCCTACTGCCCTTCCTTCCAACAGGCCTATGTTTCCCTTGATCAGGAGAACCCACAAATGTAGTTTGTTTACAGTCAGATAAAGTTTATATAATAGTTTGCATGTGACTCACAAAGTTAAGTACAGTATCTACAGCTGTAAATAAAGCCCTTCTGGAGAAGAGTCGAGCCATTTTTTCTTGCTGGGTTTTCAAGAGCCCAAGGTCAGATAAAAGCTGGTAGTTCCCACTATAGCACTTCCCACATGCTCCAATAGGAAATCCAACAAACTCTATATTACTGGCATTTATCACCTCCCAGACCTGCTCCTTAAGATGTTGATACTTCCTCACCATCTCAGCTGCTGCATTGGCAAGTGATGATAATTTACTCTCATATCTGATGGTTATAGCCACCACTAGTGCCTCACCACCCTTCATAAATATTGGGTCGGTCTTGTACAGCTCATTTTGATGGTGTCTTAGAAGTGGCTTGTGAAACCTTTCTTCTAGTCCCAGCACGGCCATAACACCAGGGCACACTTGTGCAACAGAATAGCTAGATTAGGTGAAAGCACCTTGAAAGACTCTGCCTTGACCAACACAAAGTGAAGCCCCAGTACCCTGCAGTAATGTAAGCCATCCAGGCTGTCACCCCAGAAAATGAATCTGTAGTGTGGGAGTGCAAAACCACTCTCATGTGACCTAGCACAAAGACAGAGAGAAGCAGCTCAGTTGGGAGCCACTCGTCCAAAAATAGATGCTGTTTTTCTTTATAAACATCTGCACGGTGGGAATGCCATTGGGATGTAATTGTTTTCTGTTGCTGTCATACTGCAGAACTTGTGTCTGAGGAGCAGCAAAGAGAATTGTTAGATATTGATGGTTCCTCAGAGGTGATGGAGGATGGAATAAGGAAGCTAAATACCATCAGTCATTACGAGGTAAGCACAGAAGCCATACCAGTGAATTGAGAAGCAGTTTGTCCCTAACTCCCAAGTGCTGTCTGCACAGAAGTATCTTGATTGATCAAAATCTTGAAGAGATAGCTGAGCATCATCAACAGAAGGAAAGAAATGTGTGACACAACTTTTTTGACAATGAGTCGTATATTTTCTCTTACTTTTCAGTGGTTTGTTTGTTGCAGGGTTGCTTGGTTCAAGCGTACCAGGTAAACTGTCACTTCCATTGAGCATTTCAATTAAAACAGCACCTGATTTCCAGCTATGAACATTGATTGCCTTGAGTCTTTTCTAGTCCCTGCTCCTGAGTTTTTGTTGCACCATGAGCAATTGTTTTACCTCTTCCCACCTCATATTTTGATTATCTGAACAGGCAGTAGTGATACTTGTGAAAGCTCACTGAGAGTCAGTATAAAAAAGATTGATGAATTTGCTCACTCTTCTCTTGAGACCTCCTGTGTCAGTCTCCTTCCCTTTTTCTCTGTTTGTGCTTCCATCTGCTGTTGCCATTTGGACCCTAAGTTTTCCCCTCCACTTCCAATTGCACCTGTAAACGAGTTGTTTTCAATGCTGCAATAATCTGTCCATCATTGTGACAATGCACAAGGCTGCAACTGGTGGCAGAGCCCTATGGGTGTAACACATGGCAAAATCATAGCAAGCAGCATTGCCTGTCTAAGGAGTTTCCACTGACAGTAGTCAAAATAGAGGGTGAGAGGCTGGAGTAAAATGTACCAACAGATAATTGGCCTCAAGTGCTATGCTAGCTCACATTTTGATGCTTACAGATAGATTTTGGAAATGAGGGTAGTATGCTGAGTGCTTTTAGTGAGCTTTCTACATGCCTCGTTGATGAATTTGAAAGTCTGGCTCTTAACATGATAATCAATTTTTATTTATTTAGAAGTTTTGCTGATGAGTGTAGGTCTGTGCCATGCAACACAGCATGGTGCTGAGAAACCTGAGCCAACCCTGCTGTCTGCATGAGCGAATACAGTGCCATCCACAGAGAGGAACAAGGACTCCTAGCAGGACTGTTTGTAGCTTGGGCAGAGCACAAGGCTGCTCAGATCTGGAGCAAGTGTGTTTGGAGTCACTTTACAGATTTCTGCAGGCATTTGTTGCCCTCCTTACCTCCTGGGGAGGCAGCAATGAACCCAAGATGTCTTGAGTCACTATCCAGGGTCTCAAATACCGCCTTTCAAATACCTTGCTCTCTTGAATCTTGTCTATAGATCAACGTGGGACTTCTTCCACTCTACTTGTAAAGATTTTGTACAAATTAGGACATTGTAGTGTTGCAGTCAGAGTCTGTGCAGCAAAGGTCAACGAAGATTTGAATCTGATTAGATACTTGAACTTCTGTCTAATGCGATAGTACCCACCCTCTTTACCACAGGCAACTATTGCAAGTGCTCCCTGATTTTACCTGGCAGCTTTTTTGCACTTCTTGAGCTCACGGCATGCTGTGGCTCGTGGGTGCCATACCTTGTCGCAAATGAGTCTTGCTCCAGTGGGTCAGTGTCATCCCTGGGTATCTTTGTCCCAGACTTTGTTTTCGTCTGAGGTTTCTGCAGGCAGCTGCAAGTTAGGTTGAAGGTTCAGTTGGTTTTGAAAAGCTGTAACTACACTAATTATAGCTTAGCAGCTGCCTTATGGAAATTGTGCTGGTTATCTCTGTTAGATATTTTAGTTCGCTTTTTCTGACACTGGCAATGTACATTTGAGGCAGAAGCTTAGTGAGATTTTAGGCAGTGGCTTAGTGGCAAGTATCAGTCATTAGCATATCTAGTTTATTTTCTAGTATGCATATTAATGCAAAAAGGAATGTAAAGGTGCCTAGTTAGCAAGAAAGAAGAACATTGCATACACAGTGTGAGGGTAGTAAAGCTGCCTGAGGAATTACAACTTACATTTCAACTGTGCCTAGGGTTTTGTGGCAAACCTGAATTTTTCTTTTTGTTTGCCAGCCTTAAATGATAGAAAGTAAACAGATTTTTGAAACTGGGAAGTACCACCAAATCTTTTTAAGATACTGGAGCATGAGGGTTGTGTTGTAAAGGTCTCAGAATCACCAGTCACTCTTGAAAAAGCAGACTTAGTTTCTACACTGATTTTTAAAATGCACAAGTAAGAGATGTTTGCATTTTTGTGTGATGTTTCTGAAGGGAGAAAAATCCACTGTACTCTTATTAGACTTTCACAGTCTCTGAATTGTGTGCTCCTTTTACTCTAAATTTTTGCTCCTAGTAGGGTTATTGATGCGATTGTTTATGAGATCTGCACTATTGTTTGCATGAAAATAACCACAAGCCTTGAAAAGAAGGTTGCTGATTATCATGGTGTCCTATTTCCCACTCATAAGGACAGCTAGAGAAGCGCTTACAGATCTGCTGTCCAGTCACAGATCTCCAATTTCTCAACCTGTAGCAACATCACATGTTCCAAGAGCAGGCACAGCCCCAGAGAGTGAATCTGAATGTGTGATCCAGGGAGCTCACTGGAAAAAAAATGGATTATAGGGAGGACAGAAGGCCTGGAGAACAAGGAAGAGGCATAGAGCCACACTACTGGATCTCCCATTTTGCAAAGTAGCTGTACTCCATGTTGTGCGGATCGGAACAGATCTCCCCTCTCCCTCTTTGTCCCCCTCTGTAATGCACCTGACAAAGATGTTTTGAGGTGCCCATGTGAGCATGCAATGTGATTTAGGCAGCAGGACACAAAAAGTAAGGCTTAATGTTTTTTTTAAATTGGATCACACTGAAAGAAACAGCAAGTGTGGCAGCTGCAGTAATGATAAAGAAGGGAAAGCATATTCCACTCAATGCTAAAAGCATAATTTGTCCCAGAAATAAAACCTGAAGTGGAGGCTTAGATTATGGCTGCACTGCACCAACGCCTCTGGTTCCTGGAGGGAAGCATGGTTCTCCCTCCACGCTCTGCCTGTCTCCCTGAAGACAGGAGCCAACACATTTTAGCATTGAGCTGCTCTCCTGCTTCTTGGAGAGGGAGTGCAGGCAGCGTATTGCTCACACTGCTCTTAGAGGGGGTAAGCTGCTGGGTAGCCCTGTTCCTGTTTACCTGTCTTCAGGGCCAAATAGGAGGACTCTCTGGGTGTTTGTGTCGCCTCACAAGCTAGTCTTAGAGCATATTCTTACTTGTAGTGTGGTTTTAAAGTCTTCTGTGTTACCTGAAAGAGCTCTGAAACACTGCATGATAAATGAAAACCCTGAAAAAAATCATACCTATAAAATAGATTGCATTTACTTTCCAGGAGCAAGTGCAAGTGCAGATTTCTTTGTCTCAAGACACAGCTTTTGATAGAGTATCTTAGTGTTTAAACTGGTTTCTCACACCAGGCTGGCTGCCAAGGTTTAAAAAACACTTAAATTATTTTGGCAGAGATCCCTTCCTAGAACTGGCCAGTTGTTTTTGTAATTATAGAGGGAAGTACACTAGCACTTGGCAAGACCCAACATTTGACAGAAGAGCAGTGGTGTAGTTCTCAGTGGGAGCCGTTTTTGAGTTAGTCTTTGACAATAAAAGCATGACTTGCCAGTTTTTTTTAAAGATAATAGTTACCATCCTGGCAGCACTATAAATTCAGGGAAGGAGGAGGAAAGATTTTTCTTAGAAATCCCAAGGTAGCTAGATATGGATCTTGACCTTATGGTCCACAATGCATAAATATTTTGCTCACTTTGAAAATAGTTCTTGGGAGCACCAGGCTAGACCCTCAACACGGCCCCTCTGTACGGCATGGGGGGGAAGGGACTAAGATGGAAAAAAGTGGGCCAGAAGAGAAATCATCTTGTGTTCCCCTCCCTGCCTCACCTTCCCATAAGATCCTATTGCACTGGAACCAGATAATTCAGCCTGGGCAATCTGTAGAAAGATGGGTGCAAGAAGCAGCAAAAAGCAGCATATGAAAATGTCCACATAGGGGCTGAACCATAAAAATCAAAGAAAGGTAAAGGTCTTAAAGGCCAGTTTGTCAGAATAGCTGTCTTCCCACCTTGCCAGGTAACGTTCACAAACTGCAGCTGATGCCTGTGCCTGAAAGCCCAGCCCTGGCTGCCTGCTGAGAGCCATGCCCACCATGGTGAGAATGAAGTGAGCTGGCACACTCCTGTGCTGCCATGGACTTAAGAACAGAGGAAGTGAAACTGAGGGTTTAATTAATTCTAGACACTTTTGTTTCAGCATGATATGTTTGTTTTTGCTTTCAGATTTCAAATGGAGCAACCATAAAAGTCTTTAAAAAGAAGGCAAATACCCGATCAGGTAACAAAAGAACTGCAACTGATTTAATATTTTGTGGAGAATGGGCTGGGAATGCAGAGAGCTGAGCTATGACAGCTTGTATCTTGGTCAACAGGAGGTCAGAAAAATTGGTTCTTTGATATAGCTGAGCCAAATGAAGAGCCATGTTACCCTGCCTCTGGCAGACATGGTGGGCCTCAGAGAAGGGAAGAAGGCAAAGGAAAGGACAGAAGGGCTTACAGTCATCAGCCAATTAATGCGCAGAGATACAGACTCATAGGCAGGAAAGCAGGGCAGCGAAGCCCAGGTGACACAAAGTGCTGACTGGGGAGACCGAGATGGGGAACATGCCCTGCTCCACTGCCCGGCGTTGTGCATCGCGGGTAGTGGTGCACTGTCCAGAGAGAGGTGTAGCAAAAAACTGCAGTTTTGGGATTTTCCTTATTCTCTTAACTGTGTTGCTGGAAACTTTGACTCAGCTGTCTCAGGCAGGTCAGGAGTTAAAGGGTGCTTACAAGGGGTCAGTTCATCTCACCTACCCCTGTGATGCCGGTTGCTCCAGCTCAGCTGGTGGCTCCGGGGAGGTGGACTTTCTGTAGCCCCTGGGGAGAAACAAACACCCTTAGTGTGTGATTCACCTCACAAAGTGGAATGTCAAAGTGGACATCAAAGTTAGGCTAGATGTGTCTCTGAGGTGCAAGTCTCTCCCTCAACAAGAAGAGGGTTGTCTGTTCTCAGCCATTGCTTTTGAGCCTGACCTCAGCCCGCCTGCACCAAGAACTCTTAGAGACTAAACGAATGCAATCATCCGCTGTCTGTTGTCCTCCTTTCAGAGGAGCTGTGATTTTCTGCCAGCTTACCCCAGCAGCAGATGATGATGCCCTAGATTAGTGGTCTGAGCTACGAGTTGGCACTGGGGAGGTGAGCCAGGACCTGTGCGTTTGTCAGAGCCTTCCTCTGCGTTGCAGGCAGGAAGGCATGATGCCGAGCCTGTTCGCTTGGCATCCTGGCATGTACACTGCTGCACAGCCCAGAGCCCATCAGAATTCACAAGCCTGCAGCTGTGTGTTTCATTAATGCCTGTTTGCTCTCTGCTTTCTGTTGTTTAGATGTGGACTACTCGGATGAACACTGTCATTTGGTGAGTTCAGTCATTACACTGTTAAGTGGTAGATTTAATACTGAGCTGTATTTGTATCTGTGTAATCTCTCTAATATCTTCATGACAGATTTTACCAGATTCTGAAGCAAACAAAGATGTGAAAGGAGCAGGTCACAAAGGAAAGCAAAAATTCAAAGTGAAAGAAATGTATTTGACAAAGCTTCTGTCAACCAAGGTAAAGTGTAAAGGCCTTATTTTGGGGGAGGGCTGATGTTAGGCTTGGCTAGTTTGGCACAACAGAAACAGAAATTAAAGCAGAAATTACACAGACTTCCCACATGTATTTCTAATGTTAAATGAAAAGGTGGCCTATAAAAATCACTGCGCTAACTGTGGATTATGACCATTTGCAAAGACAAACACATTTCAGGTTTTCCAATGCTAGAGTTCTAAAATTGTCTATTACTTGCATTCTCTGTCTCCTCAGTAAGCACAACCTTTTTTCTCAGGTTAAAGAAAAAAACGTAGTAATGGAGCTTATAGAAAACTAGTTTTGCCACTCAGTCCCATAGAGCAAGAAAGATCCATTCTATAAAGACAGCCTTCAGTCAATGATCTCCTCACTCTCTACTAGAGTTTGCCCAACAACTTCCAAGGCCTGAGTTTCACAAAATACTGCCCAGAAAATGAAATAATCTTTTAGGGTGTCAAATTAAGCATCCAAAATAACTAGATTCATTTTAAAACCAAGGTCCTTAGGATTTATAGTACAATTACCTAATTTATACAATGTGCATTCCTTAGGAATAAGCCTTGCTCGCTGCCTCCAGTGATGTCATCTTGTTTCAGACTTACTCAAAAGGGTTATAAAACTCTTTGCAACAGCATAGTACTTAAAATATTAATCTGTGCACAACACTGAGAGCCGTGCGATGCAAGAGGCCTGAAGGGATGATGATTATGGCCTTCTTGCATTTAAAAATCTGCCAATCATTACTTAATTAGACTGTTGATAGCATCTGAAGTAATTTGGGACACTAACCAAAGTGAGAGTGAAGACTGGTCATTTCTCATTAGCTGTGGAAACTAACATAAGCCCTTAGGAATTACTGGAGTAAATCAGTAGTATCTTATGGTGGAAGACTGAAGTACAAAAGATCAGGCTCTTAGGAAACAGTCCTTTTAAAGGGATTTAAATTAATAATCGCCTTCTCCAAAGTAGGATAGTGCTCTGAACAACAGTGCTGTGATACCTTTCACTGTGAAATTCCACCCATTGTACGCTGTGCACTAAAGGAAATCGCATTGAACCATATCTCTCTGCCCCTCTCTCTCTCACCCATACATGCACACAGACACCATTGCACAGTTGCCATGTGAAATGAACTGGCCAGTAGCACATCGAGGCCCTGGGATACACTTAAATCCTTCTTTTTGAGAGAAGATTGGGCTGAACTGAGCTTCAGAACAGATGTGAAGAAAAAAAAGCACAAAACAGTGTTTTACTTTCTTTACCTCTACTTACAAATATTCTGTGATGATGTCAGTGAGTCTGTTGGCAACCAAGCCCTTGCTTTTGTGAGCCAAATAGCTTTACCTCTGTATCATAAATACTCAGTTTTCAGTTCTTGTCTCTAATATTAGTGTCTTCGTGTGCCACCCAAAGCTGTTATCCTAGAATTAGATCAAGTGGCACAGTTGCTTGGCTGTGAAGTGTTGATGAGCACATGTGTTTAACATGTGTCACAGGTGGCACCATGAAGACCAGTGCCCTAGGAAACTGATTAAACTTCTTTTGCTAACCTCTCTTTTACTTCCAGTCATGAGTTACAAATGCCTTTAGCAACAGTGCCAACAATATCTGAAGAGTTGATGTTGTCTTTGTTAGAACGAGCGATTCCTTCCACCTACAGTTTATCACCAAGTTCACCACAATTCTCCTGTTGGTAAAGTGATAGGACGTGACATTTGAAAGCAGCTCATTATGGTGTATTTGTGGTTTCATTTTTGTTATTGACTGTCTTGTTTGCCACTAACCTATGGCCTAGATGTTTGCCACCAGGGTATTGTAGTTTCTGTGCATGGCAGCCTTGGGGCATGCTCAGCTCACAGAGACAAGAAATCCTGTTCTTTTCTTGTGTAATAATAACACTGTTCATTTTCTTACTTTTCAGGTTGCGATTCATTCGGTTGTTGAAAAGCTCTTCAGGAGCATTTGGAGTTTACCCAATAATAAAGCACCTGTTGCCATCAAGTACTTTTTTGACTTTCTGGATGCCCAGGCTGAGAGCAAAAAAATCACTGACCCTGATGTGGTCCATATATGGAAAACCAACAGGTACGTCTGTATGATATGCACAGGAGTGCATGCACTCTCTGAAAATGTAGTTGCAAAGATGGAACAGGTCACCTTTGATCAGAATAACGTTTTGGCATGTCTGGGTGAAGATGTGGTTTGGCTTTGTGGATCCCAGTCATTTTAGTATATTGATTGGATACCAATACAAACCACCATGGCTTCCAGGACTTCTAAGTCTGCATACTGACTTCACACTCAGAAAGAAGTATCTGCAGGTTGAGAGCATTATTTGAAGATGAGAAGGTGACTGACTGATGCGTTTGCTCTGCAGCCTTTGTTTCCTGATCTCTTTGTTAACATGAATAAGCAGCCCAGAAATTTCCTCCTTTCCATGAGTTCAGTGCAATTAAACTACCATTTTAAAGCAGTTGTGCTACCTGAGTGGTTAAAGATGCTTGTTCTTTCTCTGTCTAGTCTTCCTCTTCGCTTCTGGGTGAACATACTGAAGAATCCCCAATTTGTCTTTGATATTAAGAAGACTTCACATATAGATGGCTGTTTGTCTGTAATCGCACAAGCTTTCATGGATGCCTTTTCTCTAGCAGAACAGACACTGGGGAAGGTAACGCTGCCCTTCCAGACTTTTGCTAACTTCTCAACCAATGTCTTTTTTAACTGTCTAATGAGTTAGGGGATGAAGTCCTGGATCTGCTGACATCGGGGGCAAAACTGTCAGTGGCCTAATTAAGATGGGTTTCCATTTCTTGTTGCTCCGTCTCACAAGTTTTTGAAGAATTTGCTGGACTAGACAGATGCAGCTACTAGAATGCCATATTTATGGTTAACTGCTGCTTGTTAGTTTCTGCAGTTAGTTTCTGCACATTGTGTTTATAGAATATGTGGAAGAGGGTGGAAATTGTAAGATTTTAATGAAGTGTTAAGGAACTTTTAAACAAAAGTCTTAAAAGTATTAACATTATTTGATAAGTAGACCAAATTTTGTCTGCCACACACCAATGTGCAGAAAACACATAGTAAGCTACTAGGAGCTGTAAGAACAGTTGAAAGAGCTCTGAAGGTTTAAACCATTCCTTTCACATATATTATCTGCTCCCTTTTTATATGCAAAATTATTTGCTGGAGTAACAAGTCCAGAAATCTTGCATTCAAAAGCTCTTTAGTACAGTGTCCAGAACTTCGGGGATCAGAAATACTTCATTTTTCCCCAAGGATATTTTCCTTTTCTTTGGACCACAGCAGGCAGCATTTGTTCAGGTTCATACTACAAAGAAAACCAAGATAGAGATTTTTTTGCCTAAAAAAAAAAATATATATATATATATAAATGGACTAATTTCCTATGTGATCTGAACTAAGTGCTCATCTGTTAAAGGTAAATAACAAATAATGTGCTTATTTATCTTATTTGTGTCATAAATTAAAACTAGTCACATCACTTACTTGATGGAATTACTGCAAATAAACCTGCTTTGTTAGGATCCTATGCTTAACATCCATTGTTAAGTGCTGTTGATACAACAGCTCCCATGAGCCATTTGAAAAGGGACACTGAAACCTGATTAAGGTTTGCAATGCAGTAAACAGGTTGTGGCCTTTTAGTACTAAAATGTATTTGCTTTCATGATTTTTAGCCTTTTGTCTTAAAACATTCTTTAGCCACTTGGAAAACAAACATTTAAATCCTTTTATCACACATTGGAAAGAGTAGTGACAAGATATCACATGGTTGTGTCCTTTACTCCCCAGAATTTAAAGTAGAGCAGTGACAGGAAACTCCCAGCCCCCACTTTTACATTCTGTAAACATGGTTTCCCAGTGGGGCTTCAGCTCCTACCACAATCAGCATTTATTTCCTCAGATGAGCCTAAAGCTGCCTTGTAGGTCAGTGCTGACCTGGGTTGTTGAAGCCTGGGGGAAAAATAAATAACTCCCTTTGGCTATGCGTGCCTGGCAGTCAGCCCTATGTGCTCTCCAACCCCTGGGCAAAAGGAGTAGTAGGGACCAAAGAGTTTTAGGGGAACCTCTGACAGGACAGGATCTAGCAAGGCCCTCCGGCATGTTACCCTGGGGGAACTCTGCATAGCACTGCTGTATCCTGTACGTAACTACTATGGGATCAGCCTCGAGCCCTTTGGTTCAGCTTTCACAGTCTTCCAGGTCTGGGGAGTGGTGAGGAGGAAGTAAGAAAGAAAAATAGATCTACGGGACAAATGTTCATCACTCCTAATGCCAGTAGAAATAATTATATGGCAACTGTCATGAAACACAATGCACTATTACTGAGGTCCTGTGTCTGTTCTTCATCTTTATTTCGTAACCTTGATTTCTCGCATATAACCACTGCAAAGAGAAATGAGTCACACAGAGAACAGACACAATTAGATGCAATTAACTCTGTGGAGGTGGAAACCTTAGGAAATCTGTGCTGTGAAAATTGACAAGGCTTCAAATATTTTCTTTTAAGGAAGCACCAACAAATAAACTTCTCTATGCTAAGGACATTCCACTCTACAAGAAGGAGGTGAAAGCGTACTATAAAGCCATCAGGGATCTGCCTCCTCTGACCACTTCAGAAGTTGAAGAATTTCTAACTCAGGAATCTAAGGTATGGTTGAGAAGCAGCAACTTCATTTGCTTTAATGTTAAGTTTTTTAAAAAGGATAACTATCTGACCAGAACTGTTTACTGTTTTAGAAACACGAAAATGAATTTAATGAGAAAGTGGCCTTGATTGAAATCTGCAGATACATAACGAAATATTATGATGAGGTAAGCACATCTGTTGTTCCTGCTTAACTCCTTAATGTTAACTTGCTTCCTCAGGCTTGAAGGTTGGGCTTGACAAAGTAACCAAGGGTTGGTCTGGTGTGTGACTTACTGGGTGCCAGTCCAGAGACAGCCCTCAGTGCCACAAGCCAAGGCTGCTCCTAAGCTGTGTGGGGCCAGAGCAGCGCAGCCCACGGGCAGCTGGAGCCTCACCTTTCGGGGGGTCACAGGCCAAAGGTTTGTAAATGCACCTTTACTGTCATCACTGTATTTCACAGAAACAGTAGCAACAAAATTCCCCCTGCAGTTCTGAGAAAGTTCATATATAGTCTAGACTTCTTGTACTGTGTTTGCGGAGTATCTGCTAATGCCTGTCACAACTGCTGTGTATGCGCTCCATTTCCCTGGAGGTTCGGAAAAATCAGATGAGACTGTAGCAGCAGGGATCTCGATTTAACGGTCAGTACAAACACCTCAGCAGAGCATACTCAGCCTTACAGCAAGAGGTGTCTGCTCCTTTCCCATCATAGCCCTCTTACGCTCTGCTCTAATAGTCTTTCTCTTAAAGAAAAAAAGCTATAGCTTCCAGTCCCTGATATTGCTAACAAAAGAAATCTTTTCTCAACTGAAAGCCACTTAGTCCCAGGCTACCTCTAAGCTGCTTTGTAGGAAAATCCCAGCCCTGCGCTTTGCGTGATAGGATTCTCTGCTCCATTTTGCTCGGCATCCTTAATAGAGGCTGCGTGTGCCTGCACAGGGACGCAGATAAGAGCCAGCTGGGGTGTGTTGCCTGAAGGCCTCGTTACCACTTCCAGCAGGTTGTCTGGGTCTCCCAGCAACCAGACCTTTCTCTCTTTCATCCCCGGTGGCACAGCATCAGCACTTGCTGTAATCATTCAGCTCTCAGTCACATGTTAGCTAGCTTATCACTTCTCATCTCTAACATCTCAAATCATCTGGGTTCGGCATCAAATCTTTGCCTCTTAAAAGAAGCTTGGGATGATGCTCAGAATGGCACTTTATTAAGCTCGTTAAAATTGTTGACACAGGAGCCTTCAGAATACTTTCTAATCTTGGTGCCCGGTTTTGCTTTTTTGAAGCTAGGACTGGCTAAACTTCCCTCATCCTTAGAAGGAAACTCTCCCTCTGCTCTTCCCCCTCTGGCTTTTGACTGGGAGCAGCTAAACCTCATTCATTGTTTGCGGAAACCTCAGTCACTTTGTAGAGTTGCCAGCAAAGAGTTTTCAGACAGCAGGAAGACTCCTTCCTATCACCTGAGCCGGTGCCAAGTGGGCCAGTTAGAGGATCAGAGGCAGTTCATAGCCCTCAGTTTATGGGGCAGAGGAAGATAAATAAAATATCATTTGCAAATCTGCTCTAGGGTAAAACCAGAGCACTGGCCTTGCCTCACACTTCAAGAGATGAACATGTGTTGGATTTGTTTTGGGTTTTTTGCTTGGCTCTGTGATTCTTTTGTGGAAGTGTTGCAAATGCTGCAATCATAATGACTTGAAAGGAAAACTACCAAAATAAAGTGTTAAAGTCAGAAAAGAATGTTTACATATAGGCAGGCATTTAGATGGGTTGTTCTGGCAGTAGTTGTTGGAATGCAGAAAAGCAGGCTTTAAAAAACAGCAAGTAAAATAAGCACTAAAAAAATGGTTCTCTTTTTTGCTAATTGTTAACAGATTGTCAGCAAACTCGAGCGAGAACGGGGGTTTGAAGAAGTCCAGAAACAGCTCCAGCAAGTAAAAGCCTTATTTGATGAAAAGAAAAAATGCAAATGGCTTTGAGCAGAGCACTGACTCACAGCGTCACTGTGGGGGATTTTAAATAAGCGCTACTGCTCCCAGAACTGTTTTGACTGACTATATGTACAGGGTTTGAAACATTTGGACACTCTTCTCCACGCTGGACCAGTCCAAGTCACATCTATGTTTTGGAATGAAGTACGGGCAGGGTTACATATTCAAACGTGGGCATGTGAAAGCGAAAGTGAGTCTAGCGTTGGCAGGGCCAGCGTTTTTAGGTATGTGAGCACACATACCTTTTGGTTCAAAAATACTGCCTAAGTAAGCTTTCTGCTTACTTAAAAACAAGCTCGTAGGAGATGTGCAAAAGACACTGCAAGTTCAGAGTTGCCCATGTGAACTTGTAAGTTGCTCAGCTCTTTTTTTTTAAGAGAGACAGCTGATGTTTCACCACATCCTTTCAGCAGCCTTGGCAAACTGTGAGGATGAGCTCTGGCTTCAGACTACAGGTCAGCTACAGTTTCCTTCCTTCCAGACAAATGTACACTGGTACCTGTTTGAAAAAACAAACCAGCACCAAAGTGACACGTTGGACAGGTGTGTTTAGCAGAAAAAGTGGGTCTGAGGTTTGAAGGCCAAATGCCACATGGCAGGACTTCTCTTCCTTAGGTTAGAAATTCCATGTGCAACATGAAGCCAACCACTGACTGGGGGGAGGCTTTTGGAGAAAGCACTAGACGAGCATCAGTCTGTGTTTACATTTCTACCTTTCCATCTTAAATAAGCTGTAGAACACTTGCGAGCAGCTTCACACGTGAAACCTCTTTGCAGCTGCACCGCATTGGAACACTGCTGTGATTTGATGAAGCAGCTGATGATGGCACAAACCTGTACTCGGGTGCATGATCGGCCCATGCATCGGCGCTGACAGTCCTGCCCATCCATGTACAAGGGCCTCGCAAATCTAAAGCCAGCATATTTTCTTTTTTTCAGGTTGTCCACACAAAGGCTTTGTCAAGAGAGGGTTAGTTTAATAACCTGTAAGAAGAGGAAGGCTGGTGTAATCTCTGACCATGTCTGAGAAACTGATACAAACACGATAGCTAGAGTTGGGAGGTGGGGGGGGGGGGGGGGGGGTAACTGTCTGCCTTAGTACTGCTGGAGTGTTTTTTTGAGGCTCAGCATTTTAAAAAAAGGAGGGTATCCATTACATTTGTGGCTAAAGTTAGCCCAGCTGGAAAGCTGGTGCGTGGCCATGCTGCTGAGACCAGGCTGGTGCAGTGGCTATGGGGGAAAGCCACAGAGGAGCCGGCCAGGCTCCG